TAAGTGTAATTTCTAATAAAATATTATAAAATCTAAAAAAATTTTAAATATTTTTAAAAAATTATAGGACGAGATATTTCAGAAAATTTCAGAATTCACTTGTATGAAAAATTCTGAGACAAGATATAAACTTTCCGAATATTTCTGAGTATTTCTTAAAAATATTTCAATTCGTATAAAAATTATGAGAAAAATTTTTACAGAGTATACATACATAGAGGAAAGACCCCTATTATGAGATAGGAGCCTAATATGAGATAATGGCGTTTCTGCTAAACTAATAAACGCTGTCTATTAATTCCATCATGAATTTATTGCTCTTGGATTGAAAATTTATTTAGTAGAAAATTCATTATTAGATCATGCCTGCAGTCATTGTAAAACAAGATTTTAGAATGTGGATGTCTTCAAGTTTCATTGAGATGAGCCTTTAAATCTTGTTTATTACTTAATAAATAGATTCTTTCTTATTTGGCAATAGATTCTTCATGTAGTGATAGAGTAAGGTCGTACTAATAGAAAAATACAGGATATGTTGAATTGTTTAATTACAAAAGTTAGATTTGATGATTGTAAAATCATAAGGCGTGATATGGGATACCCAGAATATATCTAATATGAAATAACTCATGCTCCTATGTATAGTGAAAATCGTTGCTAAAGTATAAATGTTATTATATAATAATACAAAAAAGACAACTAGAATGAACGTCGGGTGCCTGCGATGCTTGATTCCAACTATCTGAAGATGAATTCTGAATATTAGCTAATTGCATTTTCATTTTTCGCATATACTGGCTTTGTTTGTATTTTAAAAACATTAAATAAAATTTTTTAATTGCAATACTGATATACTTTGAGTTTTATTATCGATTTCTCGGGGCATCTTATATTAAGAGCAATTTTTTGACTTTGCGATTCGCTTACTTTTTACATTTCTTTAATTTAAAAAAAAAAGTGGAATTTGAATTAAATTTATATAACGTTATCTTAAGCTTATTGAATTCCCTTCAAAATGACCTATTACTTAAAAAATTCTGCCTATAGACTTCTAGCATTTACCCAAAATGAATTCGGTATCTCATAATAAGGGCCTTTCCTCTATATATATATATATATA